CCGTCGTGGAGAATATGTGATCTTTGCGTGTTGCATCAGCCCCAAGTTCAGGTCGGCGTACAGGTCCGTGAATATTTAAATGGTCGAATTAGCTTCAAAAAAAGTTGGTTTGCTATCATCGACCGACCGTAGTTACTGGTTAGGACTCAGAATATTGCACTCAGAACATTTAGCGTGTAATTACAGTTACCTTTCATTCAACTAAAAGGGAAAGAAAGACCTTATGTAGAATACATAGTTATGTACGTCAAATTACTTTTCGTAGGCCGGAAAGCTGCCATTGAGGTGTCGGAGCCTTTCAGCCATCTGTTTCAGGTCAGAAATCGCCCGATGAGTTACCTGTGGCTTTTCATGTGAATATATTCAGGATTACGCGCCGTCCAGAACCAGCGCCTGCTCTCGCCTACTCTGCATTCCTGCCGTGAACTCGCTTCCATCGCTCCGTCCGGCCCGCCCGGTCGCCCACGTGGGATACGCCGGCGTTATTTTTGCCGCGTCCGGTTACCGATGTTTGTTTCAATTCGTCTCCCACCACCTGTCCTCCTCCACTCCCCTCATGCCGCCGACACCACACATGTCTTTTAAACTTCATCAACCCTGAAATGAACGTGGTATCTCTGAGAAGGAGCCGCTTCTGTTACCTCCGATCATTCCTTTGAATCACAACTGCCCACATCGACTCCAAGGTGTTCGTGCAATGTTTCCCTCTCGATACCGTTTCGACGGGTGGCTGGGTGTAATCGAGACTCGAAGAAGGTGTGATCTATCGCACACGAAATGGGGATGAAATCTACCGAGAGTTCTCCGACTGACCAGGGATCCGAGAATAGCTCACAGATATCAAACAGTGCCGAATCGGTTCTTCTTCGATTCCCATCCCCGCTGTATGTTGGTTTCCTGTAGAGAAGCACACCACTCGCTTCTATGGCCCCGTCAAACACATTAGCGTATGACTTTCGTCGTCGCCTGACCACAATTCCGCCTCGTTGGGGCTAGAAGGATCCACCCATCGTGATCATTATCCGTCAGAAATACAGGCTTCGATCTCTGCAGGGAGCGTATAAACTGTACCAACCTTAGTTTGGTTGGCTTCCTTGCGCTTTCATTCCTTCTTCTCCGAAACGATAGCAGAAGAGCGAGAACTATGGGGGTGCGCCTGAATCGCCGGCCGTTTATGCTTCATACTAACTTTGACGCCCATAGAAATACACCTCGTATAATGCGCGAATCGCGTCGAACCCCGTTTGCTCCATTCTCTGAGATACGTATTGCGCCTGCCTAACACCTATCCAGTATGTTGTGGGGTCGTTCGCGTGTATTGGAGGAGGTCTGTTCGGTCTCGACATCTCCTCGATGTCCGGGGTGTTAAACGTGAGTCTCTCCTCAATCGTAGGCTTCGTGGAGGCTTACCTTCTCACATTGGTCGTAGAATCACTCCTACCTTAGCACCTTTGGCTTCGTACGTGAATGCAAACTCTATCCAATGGTCGAATCGTATTGAGAATTGCCTTCCTAGCCAGGCCCTTCAGCACAAGGGGCCATCGTTGCCTCTATGCCAGCTGGATCTCTCATCGGCGCCCTCTCCGTAACGCAACTCGCTGACAGAATTGGGAGGAAGAGGACTATCATTCTCGCTGGTATAATCTGGGTCATCGGCTCCATCCTTCAATGCGCCGCCGTCGTACGTCACATTTCCATGATCTCTTCCCTACATACCTTCACTCATCGTACCGCTCGTACCGCTCACAGAATCGCGGCATGCTCGTCGTAGGGCGCATCGTCTCCGGCATGTCGGTCGGGCTCTCCTCCGCCGTCGTCCCTATCTACCAATCCGAGATCACTGCACCGTCCATCCGTGGCCGTATGGTCTCGCTACAGCAGTGGTCGATCACCTGGGGTATTCTCATCCAGTACTTCATCCAGTTCGGGTGCTCGTACATTGACGGTGTGGCGTCGTTCCGCATCCCATGGGGCTTGCAAATGATACCTGCGATCGTGCTGAGTGCTGGGATGACGGTGTTTCCAGAGAGTCCGCGTTTCTTGTTTGACCACGGACAGTAAGCTCTTCATTTCGACTTCGAGAAGATTGATGTTGGAGCTAATGATTTTCCTCCAGCGAGGATGACGCTCTGCAAGTGCTCGCCGACCTTCATGGTGGAGGAGACAAGAATCACGAGCTTGTCGTCCTTGAGTACGAGGAAATTAAACAACAGGTACGTGCTATCTCTATTGCTTTATTCCACCACATTTTAATTACCTCTCAAAGGTCTACTTCGAGCGGACGGAAGGTGCCAAATCGTATCTCGATCTCCAAGCCCGGACATCCTCGTCGAG